TTCTACCATGGTAGAAGATTGCATTGAATAATGCTTGTTATGTCGAAAACTGATATAAATATTGTAATAGGGTCTTCTAAATTAGAACTTACATATTTATTTTCTTACATATATCATAAAAATGGAAGAAAATTAAAATATCTTAATAATTAAAATGTTATGACTAATAATAAAAAGAGTAAAATATCATTATTAATAAATTTAAAAAATATTAAAAATATTTAAACAAGTTCATAAGAAGTCACTAGGACATATTAATTTTTACTCTTTTTTTTTTTTTTTCAAACATGAGTTAGCTTATTTGACTCATTTTCAATCCTCCTTGGATTAAATAGTATTATTGCTCTATTGCATTTAGTTGCTTTTTATCATCGTTGAAATTGAGAGAATGAATCTTAATCCTACCTAAAAGAAATATATTGTATTGAACTTAAATTCTTTTTTTAAAGCTTTTTGGGGGAATGAGACTTTCATTATCATTATAAATTTAAAACAAAGTGATGTAATTTACACAAACTATATAATGACATGGATATGCATAATATTTAGGTGAAATTTTTCACAAACTATTACAATATGAAATAAAGTAAAATAGATTAAATCACAATTATACGCATAAAAACATCTCATTATTTATCTTATATTCCAGAATATTAGATTATAATATTCAACTGTCATACATATTTACATTAATTTTCTTTCCATAAGGCCAAATCAACATGTTATTACATTATTTTATATTGAAAAATAACATGAGATGCATTTTTCTTTTCTAAGTTGTAGGATTTGACTAAAAAATATTTTGTTTATTAGCGTTTAATTGAATTATTACATATTAATTGTAAATAATAATATGTTTGTTTAAACAAAAAAAAGCAAGACTTAAATGGAACTAAAACTTATGATGGGTTCTTTACTCTTTATAATTAATGGTTCCATAAATTTATATATATTTAATATTTTAATATCATGTAGCATATATACTAACTTATTCCATTCTCTTTTATTTTTGTCATCTTCTTTTGAGAGCTTAAAGATCTTAAGCTTTTTATGTTAAATTATTAACTTTCAAGGGGTGTTTTGTTCATAATTTTCTTAAAAAAAGTTTTGAAAAAGTTTAACTGTTAAATCATGATTATAGAATTAATTATTGAAATGTATGTCAAAAAATAAAATGCTAGAAGTAATGGATTATAATGCTTGTGACTAACTAAAATGACCAAATAATATTTCTTATCCAAAAACAAAAAAAAAATGATATTATAATCTATTATATTACACGAAATCAGTTATGTTACAATATAATTGTTTTGAAGTAAAATATAATCGAAATAACTTTTTATTTTGGTTTTTGCATCAAAATTTTTACTTTCCTGTACTAGGTCTTTCAGACCAAGTGACCTCTCGCTACCTTGAGATGCATCCCCCTCTTCCTTTGGGCGGGTTCGAGTCCGCCCCATGACAACATTATTCAAAAAAAAAATTTTTACTTTCCTAAAACATATGAAGAAAAAATGAAAATCAAGCCCTTTTTAAGCAATTAAAAATCTCACAAAGCATTGTACAAACTGGTAATTTCAGTTGTGATCGATCAAAAAGATCAAGCCCATTTAAGTAAATTTGGTATCTCACCAAAAGAGCCCTCCGTCTTTCTTATCAAGACAAAACAAAGATCCACGAAAATACACGCAGAAGCGAAAATTTGTCTGAAACTCACTCTTTCTCTATCTACTACTGTATCTTTTAGAGGGAGAGAGAGAGCGAAGTTCCTTACAAAAGGAAAGCAAAGATTACATTTTGAGGAATGAGTAAAGCAAAAACCATCTTGTCATTTTAAGAGTTTTCTTCAAACTCAAAAATAAAGAAAAAACACCCAATAAAGTTACTCTCTTTTCTAATATCGCAACAGAACTGGGTACTCGGTATCCATAGAGAAGAAGAAACCCAAATGCAGGTACCCATTTGGTTGAGACTCAGAATCTGAGGATCCGATTCACCAATCCAAGATCTCACCGTTTATTCTCTCAGGTACTCTCAGTTCTCAACTATGCAACTCACATTTGCTTCAAAATGTTTGAGTAGTTTATTAGGGATTTTGTAATTTTGGCATGCAGTTGGTTTGCATTTGAGAATGGGTTTTTTCTGGGTCTGGCATTTGAATTTAGCCATCGTGGGTTTTATGTGCAAATGGGTTTGAATCAGTTTAGCATTTTGAATTGGTTTTCTGGGGAATCAGATCTGGGATGAATCTAATTTTCATTCGTGAACTGGGGTCTCCATTTTTTGTGACAAAGTATAGTTTCTGGTGCTTTTTTTTTTTTTTTTGTCAGTTGGTTTGTTGGATTGAGATCCGTTCTTTGTTTTTGATAAATCTTTGACTCCAGAACTAATAGCTTTTATTTATCGAGGAAGTGTTTACTAGTACTTTTAGTATAATGATGTTTTGATTGCGAATGTGAGTTAGTGAATAGTGATGTGTTGCTGCTTGTTGATTTGCATACGTAAGCTTTTGATAAGTACCAAATATCTGTAACTAATGTGCTTGGATAAACACACCCCCCCCCCCCCCCCTTAAAATTTATTTGCTTTGGATTTTATGAATCTTGTAGAAATTATAATACGTTTGTGTTTTCCTTTTTTTCTATTCTAGAATTGGATGTTGGCTTTTGGGGTTTTTTTGAATCAAGCTGTGCTGATAATTAGTGGATTTGACAAAGATTTGAGGATCTGTGCCTTTTTGTGACAAGAAGCATATTTGTTTATGAGAAGGATTTGGAGAAGATAATTTTGTATATATAGTAGAGAGGAAATGAAACCTGGAATGCCTCTTGATTATGCTGTTTTCCAACTATCGCCAAAGCGCTCACGGTAAGGATCTTATTCAATAGACCTTTGTCTTATTTATAGTTTTCTTGGCAATTTATAGTTTTGTCTTCCCCCTTTTCATGTTTGGAAGGTGTGAGTTGTTTGTTTCAAGCAATGGAAATATAGAGAAGCTTGCTGGTGGATTGGTAAAGCCATTTGTTACTCATTTAAAGGTTGCAGAGGAACAGATTGCACTTGCAGCCCAATCTATTAAGCTTGAAGTTGAAAAGCATAAAAATACTTGGTTCACAAAAGGAACACTTGAGAGGTTTGCATTGAGAACTTTGGAATTTTTTGCCTTTTTCATGTAGAGATGGCTTTGATTAACCTTTTCACTTGATCAGCACTTTTTCTTCCTTCTTTTTTTTTTTTTTTCCCAGGTTTGTGCGATTTGTTAGTACACCAGAGGTCTTGGAGTCGGTCAATACATTTGATGCAGAGATGTCTCAGTTGGAAGGAGCCCGGAGAATGTATTCTCAGGTTATAACCCAGATCCAGTACTTGCCATTTCATCTATTGGGGAATCTTTTCTCTATTACTAGGATGAATATTACTCTAGTACTTTCACTAAATATTTGAACCATTTTGTTGCAGGGGGTGGGAGGTCAGCATTCTGGTGAAATAGGTGCATTTTATGGAATTCATTTTCTTCTGATTTTTTTAAAAATTCTCTTATATTTATTTTAAAACTTCTGTCTCTATAGGAGCAGGTCTGTTGGCTCTAGCTCTGATGGATTATGTGTAGTATGTTTGGATAATACATTTACAACAAGTGCTAGTTTAGTGGTCTATAGCATTGGTATTGAGTGATGTTCCTCTTCTTGTTATTACTGTTATTTATGAGTTGTCATTTTCCTTATTTAGAACTGCTTTGCCAGGTTGTTTGAAGAATTAGCTTAATGTTTAGAGCATAAAAGTAAAATAGTCTGTAGGTTGCATTAATCTTAATGGTAAAGGAAACATTTGCATTCATATATAAAGGTTGTTATTACACTTTTTTTTTTTTTTTTGGCAATCAAACATTTACTTTTGATTCCACAATAAATGCTACATTTGAATGGCTTAGGAATTCCTTAAAGAATATACTGTTGGGTATATCACCAAGAAGTACTAAAATAAACCTGCAGTGACTTGGTGCCTATGATTTTCTGGTAGCAGTACATCTATAGAAATGTTTGTTGAATTCATTAATGTAATTGAATTTATCCAAAATCAAATTGAGAGTAAAAAGGAAGAAGAAAAGCATTCCTTGAGAACTAAAGTTGATTGGCCAAGTCATTTACTTTTACCGCTCAATCTATTAATGAAATGCTAGTCAGATCAAAAAGGAAAAGTAAAGTTGTTTTTTCAAAGGTTAACATTTTTCTGAGGTTTCTTTGGTTGGATTTTATCCTAGTCATAGATATTTAGAATTTCTTTAGGTAATAAAAAATTGGATTATTTTGGTGACCTGGTTCTTGAATATGGTGTGAGTCATTGCTGAATGCTCACAACAATTTTGGTTATTTGTATTAGGTGCAGGTGGCACTGGATTGATGGCAACAGCTGATGCTACTAAGTAAAAGCCTTTCCTTTGACTTTTACATATATATGATGGAATAATTATTTGGTCAAATTATGTTTGATGTTAATCTACCTGCATAAAAAATTATGATTGATTGTCTTGTTGACAACCTATTTGTAGCAATGCTTAGTTGTTGAAATTGTTAATTTGATTTTCAATTGGACTTTGAATCTTTTTGATGCCTGTCAGTCTTTTCCCTCTGATTTTTAGCCACTGGAAGGATTGTTGTTGATGTAAATGCTTAATGAGATGTCCTCTTCCTGGTAATTAATTAGTAATTATCCAACTAGAATTCATTTAACCATACAGAAATGATTGAAAATTGTGAAATTCTATTTGTGGGGTGCAAACTGCTTGAGAGAAGCCTTGCATAGACATTGTTGATATTAGCCTGTAGAGGAGTTGGATGATTAATAATGATTGTTAGAGGGAACTGCACTTGCTCACCGTTGTAGTAGCCAAAGGCCTAGAAGTTTGCTGTGTGGCAGAAAAGTTTCATGTTAAAGTAGATATTATTTATTTGCTGAATTCTAATTTCATTCACCCTGCCAAATGTTTGTGTGCTGATTTTTTCAAATTTACACAGGAGAAAGCTTCTAAGGGCTATTGATGTCCGCCTTGCTGCTGTTCAGCAGGACTTAACAGCAGCCTGTGCTCGTGCATCTGCTGCAGGCTTTAACCCTTATACTGTATCTGAACTCCAACAATTTGCAGATCAGTTTGGTGCTCATCGCTTGAAGTAAGAACTTGGGATATCCATTTCTCAATTAGATCTTATGGTTCTATGTAATGTCTTGCCTGTCTCCCTGTCTTCCTGTTTCTATGTCTATTTTTCTTTTCTTTTCTTTTCCTTCTTTCTTTCTTTTTTCCCCTGTGTTATGTGTGTGTTTTGGCTGTTGGCTTGGTTTGGTCTGGTTTTGGGTGGGTGTGTTCCTGTGGTACTCAGGCATCTATTACACTGGATTGGAACCTGGCTTTTTAGTCACTTGGTACTAAGTTACACCTATCTTTACAACTGAGTGTGACAAGAAAGATGGATGAGATAGGATGTTCTTTGTGAAAATCTTTCCCCATATCTTTAGGGGCTACAGAATTATTTAAGGGTTTGATGGAATGTTCTATTATATATATAGAGTAGAGATCCACTTACATATAAGTCTTACACACCACACTTACACAAAATCTTGACCCTTCATCTCTCCACTTTCAATGATTGAGATTTATCATGACTTTTTAGGTGAAAAAGATAATTATCTTTAATAAATATGATAAAAAGTGAATAAATCTCAACCATTGAAAGTGGAGAGATGAATGGTCAAGATTTTGTGTAAGTATGGTGTGTAAGACTTGTGTGTAAGTGGATCCCTACTCATATATATATATATTGGAATGTTGTAATTTATCAGTCAATGTTAGTTGATTCAGAATTAGTCTAGGGGGATTGTACTCATCAATATTGATGAAATGGGCAACATGAATGAGCTAGACAAACCTGATTCCTTTGCCTTTAGATTCTGTCCTTGCCATGGAATAAAATCAGATGAACTTCAGTTTATTTGTATTGTAACTTGCATGTATTGTAGTTATAAGGTTGTTTCCATTTTCAGAGCTTCAACTGTTTTTGTGAATTTAGCCTTTATTGTTGTTGTTGTTGTTATTATTATTATTATTTGTTAGTGTAATTTATTTATGGACATACTGGCATTTTCCTGTGTGGTAAATACTTCTGCAGTGAAGCTTGCATGAAGTTCATTTCACTATGCCAGAGACGACCAGACCTGATCAGCACATGGAAGCCAGGTGCCAGTGATCAGGTGGTCCGAGCCTCATGGGAGTCTGACATGTCAATTGATGATCCTGCTGAAGACCTTAGAGGGTCCCACAATAGTAATAGGACCAACCAACCATTGGAAAATAAACACCAAGAACATCCAGCACCAAGCACAATGCATACCCAGAGAGACAATGATCAATTGATTATTCCTGCCACTTTTCAACAATCCAAGTCCTCAAATACCACACAGCAGCATGTTCATAACCAAAACCATGAAGAGAAGGCTGAGGGGAATGTGACTGAACCATCACCAATTCAGATGAGTCAACCAACTAGACGACTGAGTGTGCAGGATAGAATTAATCTCTTTGAGAACAAACAGAAGGAGAACTCAAATTCTGGAGGCAAACCAATTGTTGTAGGGAAATCTGCAGAGCTGAGGAGACTCTCGTCTGACGTTTCATCTGCACCTGGTGCTGTTGAAAAAGGTGTATTGAGAAGATGGAGTGTTGCTAGTGACATGAGCATTGACTTGGGTAATGACAAGAAGGATGATAGTACGGATAGAGATAGCCCTTTGTGCACACCAACATCTTCGTCTCTATCTCAGGCCAAAAGCAATGATTTCCTGGGTTTGTCTGAGGATAAGGTGAGTTTGGTTAAAGTTGAGCCGAAAAACGGTTCTAATAGAGCAGGCAACTCTGGGTTGAATGATCAAGGAGGACAAGCCCAGGTTGGTAGTCTTGTAGGTGATGACGAGGATGTGGGATTGAAAGGGCAGGTAAATTGGAAGGACAACTTGGGTTCCCAGAACAATCAATTTAGGTCTTTTTTGGGTAAAGTTGAGCAGGTTGGGGCTGGGGACCGAGGGGTTTCTTTAGAGAACAAGAAGGGTTCTTTGGCTGGAGGAGAAAGAAGTGGTTTGTTTAATGATATTGAAAATTCTAATATGCAGTTGAACAAGAATGCTTCTCGGGTGCAGATTGGGGACTTTAGAGGTAGATTAGGAGATGCCAAGGCTCAAGATGAATTCAAGGATAGAGTTGAAGCTGCTGAATCAGAAGATCATCCTATGGCACAAGCACGTTTTAGGGGATCTCAGCATCACAACTGCTCTTTTTCAGGGCAGCTTGAAGGTGGTTTTGGATTAAAAACTAGGGAAGCTCATCACAAAGGCACTGAAGCTGATCAGTTGGTTCCTCAACCACAGTGGAAGTCTTTTACTGGGGGGGTTGAGGAAGCTGGGAAGAAAGAGCTTGCTTCATTGAAGAAACAACCAAGCAAAGTTGAAGATGCTGGAGTCCAGAGAATGAAGGTCCAGAAACAAGTTTCTATAGGTTCTGAACAGACTAAGAAGTCACAGGACAGGGGCAATGATGGCAGTTCAATTTATGGAAATGGCAAGCCACTTCTTCCTAGTAAAAAGGGCCCTGAGAGTGAAGAGAGTTTTGGTACACCTACAGTTTCAGAAGAGCAAGTTCAGAGAGTAAGGCAGTCTAGGGGGAATCAGGAGCTGAACAATGAGCTCAAAATGAAGGCAAATGAACTAGAAAAGCTTTTTGCAGAGCACAAGCTTCGGGCTCCCAGTGATCAGTTTGGTTCTACCAGGAGAGGGAAGCCTGCTGAAGTTCAGATTGACCAGGAAGCAAGTCCACCTTACAGAAAACAACCAGCATTAGATACATCTTCTGCACAGTTGTCTGACAAAAACACAACTGAAATGACAGAGACTTTGGCCAAGTTTAGTACTCCACCAACCAAGATAGTAGATAACGAGGAATATGGTGATACTCTTGGGAAAAATTTCTCTCAAATTAGGTTTTCTGATGATTCTAGGGGAAAGTTTTATGAGAAGTACATGCAAAAGAGGGATGCAAAGCTAAGGGAAGAATGGGGCTCTAAGAGGGCAGAGAAGGAAGCCAAGTTGAAGGCAATGCAGGATACCCTTGAGAGAAGTAGAGCTGAGATAAAGGCCAAATTTTCTGGGTCTTCTGAAAGAAAAGATTCAGTATCTAGTGCACGTCAGCGAGTAGAGAAATTAAGATCATTCAATTTTCAGTCACAAAGGGAGCAGGTATTTCATATTGCAATAATGTTTTTTGAAACTATATGCTAAAATTGGTTGCTGGTGGTATTAATTTATTGTCATCATAGTACTTTTAGGAATTTGAAAGCCTTGTTGACTGAATCATTTCCATAACTGATTTTGATAAGGTTATCCATTTGACAGCATCCAGTAAGTTCAATTCAGAGTGAAGAGGATGAAGATCCCTCTGAATTTCAAGATCAGAAGTGCTATGGACAAATGAAGAAGCCTTTGCCAAATAAGACTATGCCTTCATCCACCCCTTGTACCACAACAGCATCAGTTCCACGCTTGTCAGGTAAAGTTTCAAGTACTAGTTCTGGGAGAAGAGTGCAATCTGATAATCCTATTGCCCAGTCAGTTCCAAATTTCTCTGATCTCAGAAAGGAAAATACGAAGCCCTCTTCTGCAACCACCAAGATGACCAACCGTTCACAGGTTAGAAACCACACCCGCAGCAAGAGTTCCAACGAAGAGACAACCATTGTCAAAGAAGAAAAGTCTAGACGGTCTCATTCTTTGAGAAAAAGCTCTGCCGGTCAAGTAGAGTTTATGGACTCTGATGGCGTTGTTTTGGCTCCTTTAAAATCAGACAAAGGGCAGACTGATGAGACCTTCAGTGATAAATTTTTGAAGAATGTGGACACAAAAACTTTCCTCAGAAAAGGTAATGGTAGCATCAAACAGCTCAAAGCTTCAGTGACAACTGAGATTCAAAAAGATGGAGAGGAATTTGATGAGCTTGCTTTTGATGCTGATGATTCAACAGAAATGGCCAAAGAGGATGATGAGGAAGAGCTTGAAACCACAGCCATGGAAGATTGTACTGACATGGACAATGGAAGATCAAGACGAAGTCAGGAATCTGACAAGTTGGATAATTCAGAATCTGAGAATGGTGATTCCTTGAGATCTCTTTCTCAGGTTGATCCTGCTTCTGTTGCTGAAGTGCCTTCTGCAGTGTCTTCTACATTCCAGACTGCTGTGTCTCGACAGGACTCTCCGGGGGAAAGTCCTATATCATGGAATATGCGCATGCATCATCCATTTTCTTATTCCCACGAGACTTCGGATATTGATGCTTCTTTGGACTCTCCAATTGGGAGCCCTGCATCCTGGAATTCTCACTTTCTTAACCAAACAGAGGCTGATGCTACTCGAATGAGGAAGAAATGGGGAAGTGCTCAGAAACCTTTTCTCATATCTAATGCAACCCATAACCAGTCACGCAAGGATGTGACAAAAGGGTTCAAAAGATTGTTAAAGTTTGGAAGGAAAAGCCGTGGAACGGACAGTTTGATGGACTGGATCTCTGCTACAACTTCTGAAGGGGATGATGACACAGAAGATGGGCGAGATTCTGCCAATCGTTCATCAGAAGACTTGAGAAAATCAAGAATGGGATTTTTGCAAGGTCATCCTTCTGATGATAGCTTCAATGAAAGCGAGCTTAATGAACAGGGTAACCTTTTTTACTATTTGCTCGTTATCTAGAAATGCCCATGATTGTGTTGTGCTTACATCATATATGTGTTCTCTCTGAAATGAAGATTGGAGGAAGTATAGAAGATAAAATCCATCATATATTTTTTTGTCTCTCTGTATGATCAGAAAGGGGACCTGAAAACCCTTTGGGTGGCTGCAATTTCCTTTGTCAGCCAAGCCCAAGCGTAAGTTCCCTGTCATTCCTGAATTCTATTCAGCAAGATACAAAAAGGATATTAATTAGAAATGATAGGTGAACAAATAAGCCAATTTAATTTGTTGTCAATGTTCTTCAGTGACAGGAAAAAATGGGTTTTGGCAAACAGTTTTCAGAACTTGTGATTTTTATCATTTCTTGTCCTTACCTAATCCATGTTTGATTTTTTTCTTTTTTTCCTTTTCAAATCTTACTATTTCATTTTGTTCTCATCTGTTGCATGTGTTGATGTCTGTTTCTGTCCTTTGTAATATTGATTTCAGTTGCCATAAATGTGTGCCTCAATCATAAAAGGTTCTTGATTGTCTATTGCAGCCCAAGGCTTGCGTAGCTCCATTCCAGCACCACCAGCAAACTTCAAATTAAGGGAAGATCATATGTCAGGAAGCTCTATAAAAGGTAATTCTTTAATGATATTAATCTATTATCTTGTAAGCCATCCCTATAGTATTTACCCTGATGCTGGAGGACTGTTCCTCTCATGCAATAGATTAACCCAGTCCTTGGCCCTAAGGATGGACTTCATCCTATTTAACCTAGTCCTTGCTTAAATCCTGATAGCCTCAGTACTGGCTAGTCACTATCTATTTTGGTTCTGGTTCTGGTTCAAACCTAAAGCTCATATATTAAAATATAAAGGTATTAATTTCCAGTTCCCACTCCTGGATGGTCTGGCATAGCTTCTACCAACAAATTTTTGGAGATTAATTAGGCCCAAATAGGAAATCCTTTTTTTTTTTTTTTAACCTAGTCATTAAGTGCTTTATTCTTCTTGCAATGGTATAATTCTTCTTGCAATGGTATACTTAAATTGGGATATGAATTTTACAGCACCTCGGTCATTCTTCTCTCTCTCAACATTTCGGAGCAAGGGTAGTGACTCCAAGCTTAGATAAATTTCATCAAAGTCCAAACAAGCGCTTGGAATTATCTTAAACGGTAGGGTGTAAAGGGTAATATATATAAAACACAAATGCTTGAGGTAGACACAATACGGTGAATATATGTGGGATTTTGTAAATCTTCATGGGTTCATGAGGCCTTTTGCCCATGATCTAGTCAAACAGTTGTGTTGTATTGTAAATTGCATTGAACAAGAAGTTGCCCATTGGCAAAATGTCATTGTGATTTTGATAGAGTAGACTGTAGAGGCATTCTTTTTCTCCTTTTCATTTACCCTTTTTATGATGTGATTGAACTCTTATTAAGAATCAAAGTTTATTGATAGTTTTCAGTGATGTGATTTTGCGGAGAAATTGCATTTAGAAAACCACCTTTTATCTTATTGATCCCCTAATTTGCTGTTCTTCTCTTGGCTAGTTGAATGGAATTTGGAATTCCACTGGGGTCCTTGTTTCAAGACTCAGTAGTTCTGTTTGGTCCTTGTTGCTTTTGTAGAAGTGATGTCCAAGTATAGTTTTTTGGGTCATAAAAAATTATAGAAATTTATCAAAATCATCAAATTTAGAAGCTTAACACAGCAAAAACTCGATTTGTAACTTTGTAGCTTCAGCTTTTGCTGTAGAGAATCTTTATAGAAATTGGGTGAAACAGAAACACAACTCAAAGTATGGTTGATACAAAGATTTTATGATCCTACTCTAGGGAAGCTATGATAACGGGAGGGTAGATTTGCGAGAGATCAATGTCATGTGGTTAAAGAGACAAACTGCTTTGCTTTGGCATTTGGCATTTGGCATTTGGCATTTGGAAAACCTAAATGCCTCATGGGCTGAGATTGAAGAGGCTGCAAAGGAAGCTTTTCATCAGAACGGAGAGGCTTGCAATGGCTTCCAACACAGGTACTTCCCTTTCCCCCAATCAGTAATGGTTAAATGTTAAATTTGGTCCCTCAACTTTAGTGAGTTGCACATTTTTGGTCCCTTAACAATTTTTTGCACTTTTTTGATCCCTCAACTATACGAAATACACTCCGTTAGTCCTTCTGTTAATTTCGATCGTTAACTCGCTTATGTGGCATTTTTTATAATTTTTTTGATAACGTGGCAAAAACAAATTGAAAATATGTTAGACGTGGAATTTTTTTTATGCGAACTCAATTATTACTATTTATATTTTTAAAAAATAAAATAAAATAATTCGTTCATCTTCTTCCTTTCTCTTTTTCTTTTTTTTCTTCCTCTTCTTTCTTCTTCTTCTTCCTCTTCTTCCTTGGGTTATTGAACCCTCTGCTGGGTTTGATGGAACCCAGAACCCAGCTCCACTTTTTTTTTTTTGTTTATATGATTGTTTGCTAAGAGATTATTCAAATTGCAGGTTGTTGCGAGTGATTTTTGAACAATTGAGTTCAGTGAATTGAGATGGGTTCGATAGAACCTATTTGCTGGATTACATCGAACCCAAATTTGCTGGGTTTCGTCGAACTTCTGATGGGCAAAGAAGCAATTGTTAGTGGTGATGTGGGACTCATTTGGATGGATTTGGTGTGTTTTCGCCAGGTAGCATGTGACATGGCAAAAATTTTATCCATGTCATCACTTTTTGAAGTTTTGCTCTTCATATCATAAAAAAAAAATATAAAAAATGCCACCTAATCAGAGTTAACGGCTCAAATTAACAGAAAACTAACGGAGTGCATTTCGTATAGTTGAGGATTAAAAAAGTGCAAAAAATTGTTAAGGGACCAAAAATGTTCATTTCTTAAAGTTGAGGGACCAAATTAAGCATTTAACCATCTGTAATAAAAACCCCAGTTCGACAGTTGTCAAGCACTTCGAATCAGTATTTATAGTTTGGTGAAAGTGGGGTCCCGCCATCTGGGGGTCAAATAGAGAGGATTGCAATGGCATGGGCCATACGGAAGAAATCAAGGGTGATGCTTTTAGATGAAGTAAGGCCCACCGTTTTCCCCACCAGAAGTGAAGCCAAAAGGATTGCTGTCGTCAAAAATGGAGATGGTGCTTTAATTGAGTATGGTAGCCATGAAACCCTCTTGGCTTCCTATGTTAACAATGTCTATGTCAGCTTGGTCCACGCCGAGATAGAAGCCAATGCTTTTTCTTGAAGATTCACCTTTTTTCCTTGTTGCCCTTTGAAGGTATCGCCTATTAAATGAACCTTATTTTATAGTCATACCAGAAAACTTTGGATATAGAAACAAGAAAAAAGCACAGAAATAAGAAAAGGTCAGAAATTTAGAATGCACTCACCTTCTCAAAAACTCCACTTCCTCTACCTTAAAAGGGAAATCCGACCCACATCAAAATTTCCCAAATAACCCATTGAATTGCCAAAACGAAGCAATCTTTGAGACAGGGTATTTTTGTGATTCTGTGTCCCAGAAAATTGGCCAGAAAGTATGTCTCTTAGCTTAAAAGCCAAGAGAAAGAATGATGGTTACGTGACTCACATGCAAAGCTATACAGATTCTTGTAACGTTTATGCAATTCCTTTCTTAGTTTCCACTGTTAACTTTTTTCATGGCTTCTTCTCCTCTGTTCTTCTTCCCAGGTATTTGCATTAGGAATTCAATCTATTTTTCTGCTGCTTTCTTTAAAGTTTAATACTGTTTGTGATTTTCTGTGATGGTTGACTTAGCTGAGGAATACTGTTTGGTTGAATAGAAAATCCAGGAAAGTAGAATTGACAAACTGGGAAAAAGGAGGGAAATTTGGAAATGGCTTCACTAACCCCGGGAGTGTTACTAAAGCTTCTTCAGAGTATGAACTCAAATGTAAAGGTTCGTGGGGAATACCGGTCTGTACTTCTACAAGTAATCAGCATTGTTCCTGCTTTAACTGGATCAGAGCTATGGCCTAACCAAGGTTTTTTTATTAAAGTGTCCGATTCCTCGCATTCCACGTATGTTTCTCTCTCGAAGGAAGACAATGATTTGATCCTGAACAATAAATTGCAACTGGGTCAGTTTCTATATGTCGATCGGGTGGAAGCCGGAACCCCAGTTCCGATTCTCGTTGGGGTTAGGCCAGTTCCTGGGAGAAACCCTTTTGTGGGGAACCCGAAGGATTTGATGCAGATGTTGGTGCCGTCTGAGGGGCCAGTGCTGGTTGATCATGAGGAGAAAAATGGGTCAAAAATGAAGGAGTTACCGGAGGTGAAGGATGAGAGCCCGAAACAGAAAATTGTCATCAAAGAGGAGAAGGCAGTGGTTGCATCAAGGTATATGCAGGGCGTTGTGCAATCAAGTTCTAAAGCGAGTGCAGGGGATTCTAATGGCGGAGGGAAGAGCAGTGAGGCTCAGAATGGCGGAGGAGGGACAGGGAAGAAGGTTGTTACGGTGAAAAGCAAGCAACAAGAGCATAGAGTTCAGGTAGGATTCTGCTTATGGAGCATTGAGTCAAATGCGGAGAGATACGATACTTGTTTCTGTTTATAATGTGTATGTGTATTTGCCTGAACCAACCTGTGACAAATATGGGTATTAGCATTACAGGGACGTCCGGCAACTCCTTTGTGGAGTAGATCTGATCAGGTACCATTGTCAAAGCCAGAGGTGGTGGTGTCTAACACCAAGGATGCTGTGGTGCCCCCAAGGAACTTGCCTGCAAAACGTGTTTTGAGTAAACTAGAGAACATCAACTTGAATCGTTCACCAACCAACAGAGACAAGAATAATTTGCCTGAAACTGTTTCCTGGGCCTCTCTGCCTGCCAACCTCTTGAAGACAGGGAAGGTGTGCTCCTCTTGTGTTTCTTTTGTTTTAATCTTTCAATTTGACATTGTTTACATTCAAATGAACTGATATGTTTTCGAATTTCATCACCCCAATTAGTGTACTACTTTGATGTTACTAGGCTTTAAGCAATTCTTTTCCACCATAGCATCACCAAATTTGTCATTGTTAGGTCGATTGTTTTGTGGTGATTGAATCCATCATTGATTCATGATAAACGCTAGAAAACAGAAAGTCTACCAGATTCTTATGTCAATTATTCTGTCACCATATAATCTTTTCTCCTCTCATATTCCATCATAATTTTACAAGGGAATGCTTAGGAGGAGAAATTTGGCTTCTTTGGTTGCGGCTGAAGCTCAAAAGGAGGCATCTATGGCTGCAAATCTTGTCAAATGCCTAAGGTGATACAGTTTTTGATCCAAAGTATGGCATCTGGTTTTTCTTTCATTAGAATACACAATCAGGGATTCTCTGACTTCCATATTTTATTTCAGTTTGTTTGCTGATATTCGCTCCACTGCCACATCTGAGAACCCTCACCTCTCCCTCACCAAGTTCTTTACTCTCCAACAATTAATTGATCAACCAAATGCTGCAAAAACTTTGAAAGATAAATCAGTTCTGGCATCTCCTCACCCATCTGCACCGGACACAGAGAAATCTAACAAAAAGAAAGGCCTAATTCAGGATAAAAGCACATTAAATTCTCCAAAGCTAATGGAGTTAAGTGGAACTGATAAGGTAGAATGGGCCAAAGGAGATGGTCCTAAAGAGATAAAAGAGCTGCGGGAGATCCTACTTGATGAAACTAGAAATTGGTTCCTGAAATTTTTGGAGGCAGCATTGGATGCTGGATTTCAGATTGGTCCCCAGGAGAAGAAAGGAAAAGGTACAGCAGGGCGAACGATGGAGCCTGACAATCACATAGCCGTCAAATTATCACAACTTAAACTTGCAAATGAATGGCTGGATAAACTAAGAAGCACAATGAGCTCAGATAACAATGGATTAGTGCAAACTGCTGAACGCTTAAAGCAAAAAGTTTATGCTTGTTTACTTTGTCATGTGGACTCAGCTGCATCAGCCCTTGAGAACAGATCTGATCGCATCTGATTCAGCAGAACTGTGGTTTTGGAATATTGATTGTCATCTGTCAATGCAATGTGAATAACTTATATTATTTAAGGTGATTGTTAACCGGGATGACTTGGGCCAAACGAGGTTATTGAGAGTTTGGCCAACCTTATTTAAGTTATGCATGATGTCTCATTTGTGTATAAAGAAGAATAAATCTATTGAAAGTTTCTTGAATACAATGATCTTGTGATGGTGATGCATATGCCATATTATAATTTTATCAAAGTTTGAGAGGATTACCTGCGTCTGCTCAAGGGTCTGTACCCAATACTTGCAGCTTTGTTCCTTCTGCCATGAAAAGGGAGAGTGTCCAAGCTGGAGAGCCAAGGCACATGCAAAATTCCTCAGATTCTTCTTCTGATATCTTTAGCATGTGCCCTGCTTCTCCAGCATGGATTGCCTTCCTTCATCTCCCTCTGCCATCGCCGGATTTCTGACAGCTGGGTGCTAATCAAAACAGAGAAGCATGCTTTATGTGGATTGTTGAGTAATGGGGTACTTGTGTGAGTGATTGCTGCAACAGATCTTATTATGTCTTTTAGCGGACATGTGTTCTGTCAGAGGTCCGACAAAGTAGATTGGCAAGCATTTTGTTGGTTGGTGACTGGTTGTCCTTGTAGGTTTGCTTATATAATAATAATGTTTTATGTATTGTTGTTGAAGCAAATCCATGGGCAAAGACGTGCCTAACCAAACTTGCTCCGGGGTTCATGTGCTGTTGAAGTATGGCCGCCAAAAAGGGGAACTGGAGTCCAAAATCACTAAGTTAATTTTCCCAGATTAGGCAGACAACCCACCAGGCATGTCTAGGAGGTCAAAAGGCTAACTGAAAGTAGCTTAGAACTCATCCATTCAAGAGTCCCAAGAAATGTGGCCTTTTCTATTTAGTTTTGGTGAGGAGCTTTAATGGAAAGAAGATAACCAATGCCTGTTAATAATTCTTTTTTGGTTTACAAGCAGGGAGGGGATAGCCGGGGTTGGGGTTCAAAACCTCAACCGAGCCACTACCATCCAAGGGGCAGGAGTTGGACTTCGACACCTGCTCTTCTACCCCTGGTTGCCCATTAATAGTTTTGCTGACACTAAACCAATCTAATGTTCAATTTTCCAGAACATTTGACACATGACCATATAACTAAATTGTACCCCTTTTTTTCCACACAAAACTTGCAAACAAATGGTTCCCTCGTATTAAAGTAAACGTCACATTCATAGGTCAATGGCTTATAACACGAACAATTGACCGTACAAATACAATAATCGTTGGGTTTTCTGCTGCTTCAAAGTTCAAACTAAGCTAGTATCATTCGCAATAACCTAAAAATTTTAAAAGGATATTGAAGGTTTTCAATACTTTCTAAAAGTCAGGTTTAGACGGCCTGAACGAAGATTAGTTTCTTCCAGGAGAGCCTTGGGGCCAGTATCTCGGATGACGGCAGTTACACCATGAAAGATACGTCTAGATTTCCCACCAAAAATGAGAACATCTCCAGATTCCAGAATGATCTTATCTGCTTTGTCAATATCCCTTTGATCACCATATAGGAATTCTGCTGAATCTCCAACAGAGAAGGATACTACAGGTAATCCTCTGCGTAAACTTTCTTGACTTTCATCTCGATCCTGCAGTCAATGTAAAAATTGGAGTTAGCAATACAACCCCCTTTTATTATTATTATTATTATTATTATTATTATTATTATTATTTATGGTTAGCAATATATGTGGATTTGCTTATATGTTTAAGCCTCAAATGAATGAGTTCTTACTACAAACCTGATGAAGACCCAGTCGTCCAGTTGCTGTATAGAAATTCACAATGCAGATATCAGGTGATATGCTTGGAAGAATTTCTTCAACATTTCTTGCATTAGAATTTCCTTGTATGAGGGCTTGTGAATCTTTGATAGCCTTTCCAACTAGTTCGCAAAATTCATGAGGAATAGCTGGTGGTTTAGCACCATCAACTGACCGATGATCATCATATTTGCTTGTCTCTGGATCCCAATTTTTACCAAGGCACATCATTTTCAAATGCAGCTCTGCTCCATCTCGGTAACCTGGTTGATAAAAACCTCCAGGACCCAAGCCAAGCTCACGGCATTTCTTGACAATTTTGATCTAGAAAGTTTATGAAGAACAAAGATTACAAATAATCACACGGTCCTTATAGAGACTGAGACCAAGTTCAAATAAAAAACCTTAATTTTTAAAATATTTGGTGGCACCAGAAGCAGCCATTTTAATGCAACGATATAAGACAACCCACCAACACAAATTTCAGAGTGAAAGAGAGAAACTGCGAAAGAATGCATTACCTGACAGCTTAAAGACAGGTAATTCTTTAGAATTACCATCCCAGATCTCAATGTTCTTCTATTCTGTCCTTCCAAAGCTCGATTGTTTTCAAGCCGCTTTTCTCTATTCTTCACTAACAAAGATGGTTTTAGCATCACAGGAGTTCCAGTTTCGACCAGAAAAATATCATATGGTTTCACCACTGCTGGGAGCTCAGACCCACCCAGATCAGCAGAGGCTAATGTCTTTTCAGGACTGTTCTCTTGTGAAGGGCTATGTTGAGTACCAAATGGTTTTAGCGTTGCACTAAGGGATTCTTCAACCTGAATTTTTCCCATATCTAGGTGCTCAGACACAAATGGATCAACAACATGTGCTGTTTTTCCAGAACTGTTCTCTTGGGAGAATTTACATAGAATGCCGCCTTTATCTTTGTCAGGCTGCTTAGACTTGCCAATGGAGGAAGTATTCAACTTGGGTGAGAGATCATGAGGTATTGCACTAGGGAATTCTTCGATTTTAACTTTTCCCTTATCTGAGAATGAAGGAGAATCGCTTTTGTGGACTGTAACTGGAGTGCTTTCAGAATCAGCCAGTTCCTGTTTCTGCTTTAGTGCTCCTAACTCAGGCAATTCTTCAATTTTAGCTTTTCCCTTGTCTAAGAATGAAGGAGAATCACTTTTGTGGACTGAAACTGGAGTGCTTTCAGAATCAGCCAGTTCCTGTTTCTGCTTTGGTGCTCCTAACTCAGGCAATTCTTCAATTTTAACTTTTCCCTTGTCTAAGAATGAAGGAGAATCACTTTTGTGGACAGAAACTGGAGTGCTTTCAGAATCAGCCAGTTCCTGTTTCTGCTTTAGTGCTTCTAACTCAGGCAATTCCACATTACCATTTGTCAAAGGCCTCTTTGGTACATATGTACCTCGGGCATGCTTAATATACCTTGAATTACTTTCTGGTTTCTTCTGAGAGCTTCTCCCAGTTGTCCGGGAATTCCCATCCCCACTACAAGAATCATCAACAGAATGCCTTCCGTCTCCAACCTGAAGTTAGCAGCAAAGTAAGAATTAGATCCATAGTGGTGTTGGATATAATCCTATTCATGATATCCAGTGTAAAAGCAAAGCCACACACTACATTCAGCAAATATAAAAGAGATTATATAAAAAATATCATTCTTTTGGACCATCAAAAGAATAAAACCCTCAACTCCTAATCTCTGAATTTCCATTTAAACCCCATGGTTATGACAATATGCTGAATTGCATAAAGTTACTATTTTTCATTTTTCTGGGGTAGAAGGAAAGCAAGCTTCTTTACCGCTTGATGAGTTAAAAGATAAGATTACGTAAAAAAAAAAAAAGGAAGTAAAATAGCAGTATAGCTCTAAATTACCCGCTGCATGTCAAAATTTTCAGAGAACTGAACATTTACAAAATAAGGGGAAAAAAAAAAAGGAACCTTTAAAGATGAAGGAAAAAAGCGCAAAGCCTTACATAGCTGTGAGGACGATCAGAATAGCCCCGGGGACGCTGAGATCTACCTCCACGACCGGAACTGCCTGGAGTCCTCGGAAAGCGGCCGCGATTCATGGTTCACGGAGGCGAATTGAGAAAGAATGCTGGGACTTGGCGGGAAAAGAGGAGAGGAGCTCCAGTTTTGTCATGGAGAAAGAAGAGGAATTATATACTTTAATTGATGGAGAAGGAAAGATGCAGAGAAAGTGGGCCGGAATCTGGATGGCCTCGGTGACTTTTTAATCATGTGAAAAAGTGCTGTGCGCTAACGCCTAGTTGGATCTAGAAAATGTAGGTAAGGTTAAGAATGTAAATTTTTTTATCTGTATTTTATAATTTTTTAAATATATTAAATTAATGTAAGATGAGTTAAAATATGTATTTTCTCTTAAATTGGAAAATTTTATATT